GTGGTTACTAACGCGATTTGGACAAGATTGTAAAACTAGTTCTGATACTTTTGTAACTTGGTTGTGAAAACTGACTTCATGATATTGACATCTTAAGTCGGGTCATCAGCATGACCAGTTAAGAGCATGTATTGAGTCAAACTACTTAACGAATGCCTTCCCAAAGAACATCGGAATTTGTATGGAGCTGAGCTGGGCTGTTCCTAGCCAAAAGTATCAGATTTACCTGGATACCAAACATGCGGTCAAATACCACCGGCCAGTGCCTGTCAGAGGCGGTCGCTACCCGTGTCCACAACCCGCACCTGTGTGTACAACAGCAATTCACTCGGGCCCTTTGCGTATGCTGGTCACAAGCTGCACCGCTTAAGAACGACGATCACGCCACCTCCTCCAACTTTACCTTGGGCAGCAGAATCACATATTTTTATTGATTAAACGAACCGTTTCACTAAACCACCAGTTTTGCATATTTTGTGTTATTTCCAGTCTCGTCTATCGTGAGGTGCATCGGACCAATGAGAAACCAATGAAGGCTGCATATTCGCTCATTTTAATTAAGGAACGGGTTGCCCGGCGTTCTGTTTACTTTTCACAGACAGATGCACAGGGAACGCTCGGCTTTTGTGTTGAATGACGGGCAGTCAGGCTTGATTTTCCAGCTAGATGGACAGGAGAAACACAGTGTGTGGGCGAACGTGGACTGTCGCGACACGTGACAACGAGGTAATAAGTCGCTAGGTCATTACGCTAACTGAAGACTACTTGTCATTTAAGAGCATTTATAGCATGTTTCAGAGTACCAACTCCCAGTAGATTTTTGTATGTGCAAGAGATGTGAGGGAATTCACAGAAACGTGGCATCTGGTTTGATTTGGGGATATCATTACACTTAACGATGTTATACTATCACCAGTATGAATTTGTGCACGACGTTAGTTGCGGAACCGAGGGAACGAAATTAGAAGCAAGATAGAAGAAGGTTACGTGGTGTTGATCGCTCACAGCTGTGCATTTCCCAAGCGGCTTTGTACTCGTCTGTTTGAGATGGTAGAAATACGACTCGAACCTGGAAAGTTGGGATGTTTTCCGAATTCTCTGCGCCTAAGTCACCGTGTCAGATACACATATTTTATGCCTTCTTGGAAAGAATCTTGGGGTACCTCCAAACTTGAAGCAAACTACTGGGTGCTGTTTCACTTATCCCCGTCTTTACAAATCGCCAAAGAAAGGGCAAATCCTCCAGTTGTTCTACCTACCCATCTCAATTGCCTATAAACTGCTCGCATACATCATACCACATTAGCGTCGAAACAGTGATGGTCAGACTGCATTTCACTCGGTATGCATGGTGTACCTGTAAGGTGTTTTGCTATTTTGCAATCTCTACATCACTAGTTTTGCGGTCATTGGAGAGTCTACGGCACCTTCTTCCTTAAGATTGCGACGACAGTTAGATTGCACCTGAACTAACTGATCTCCATTCTTTTCCATTTTCTGATCTATTTGATCATGACTGACTTTTAGCATCCATTATTCTGGAGCAAAGGTCATACTTGCCGTCCGACTTGTTGTGCTCGCCCGCATAGCTCTCTTTGGGTCTGGCATAACAATTGTCAAAACACTGTTGGATAGGCTGACGCTTAGCGCTACACTCTTCAACATTAGGTCCGTACCTTCAACGTGCAGAGCACTGTTGCTGGACTGGACGGGCACATCACCGAGCAGACTCTGGGGGTTGTTCTAGCGGCTTTCCCATCAGCATGGCTGTGATTCCCGCACGCACCGCTGGGTTTCACGTTACTTTTCAAAGCCAGGCAGGGCGACTCTACCAGTGTTACTACGTGAATTAGATACATGGCAGCTGCTGATCGTGCTTGAACGCGCACACTTGCAATCCGGCTACTTCGGCACATATTGGCTACCAATACCACACCTGACTGCAGACGATCAGTGGGCTGTTTGCCAGCTGTGTATGATGTATCTAGTGGTGCCCCAACCGGTTCCACTCCGCACGGTAATGAGAACGCCAAAGGCCAGCCGGACTGAGAGTTGTAATGCGTTGGAACACAGCGATATAAATAGGATGAAGCTAAGCTACCAAACACGTCGTAACCAACAACAATATCGAGGATGCTGATTACTCTCATTTACCACTACTCAAATCGACTCAGTTATGAGTTGAATTTTGCTGTTGTACACCACGTATATTCGTATTCAACCTCTCATTTAGTGCAATATCCTAATGGTCGATCGATCCGTGATTCGCTCGCTTCGTATCCCTAACAATGTAACTTACCTGAAAGCAACGCGGTCACGAATTCGGCGCCCCCTTGAACTCGTTCTCTATATGCTGACGTACACTCGTTCTCCTTTTTTGAATAGCTTTTCTCGTTTCCATTACCTTCATTACTTCTCCGATAATTTGGGTTATTCCAACCGCCAATCTAAGCTGACGCAACAGTCTGCATTAGTGGGACCCAGCAACCGCGGTGACACTTTCTTTTCCACCTGTATTTCCTATGCTGTCCCAATTTCCTATAGCCGCGGTTCCTTTAAGGCTTCTTTTGCTGCTCCTATTTAGCCGAACAACAGCTGTCGATCCGACTACGTTCCTTGATCTCATCAACGCTCAGCATGCAACAGCTTGCATTTATGCACACTTGCGACAGTGGCCATAGTCCTTCACCTCTGCTATGTTGGATCACCTGTGTAAAGTGTAACAGGAACTTTGATGTATTCCCCAACCTAGATTGCTTACTTAAGGACACGGTATCTCTATTCGCTAATTATTCTGCCCATTGTACATTGCTTTCACTCTATGTGCTGCAATCGGTTGCCATATTGAACCTTTATTCCTTTCACTCAATCAATCCTTAACGTTTCAAGGTCATCCATATTATTCTGTTACTGTGACACTGCCCAAATTCCCGCACGCTTTATAATTTCTACCCTCTCGCATTACGATTGCAAAACCTGTTCCTAAGTCTTGTACTGTATTTAATTTGCCTTATAGAACCACGGTTACAGGATAATTCCCTTTTTATTCTCCTGCCCAGCTCGTTCCTTTAGGTTTCTAGTTTCTAGTTTAGGTCTCGTACGACTTACTTAGTTTAGGCTTCATTGCGTTGGTACAACCTGCACCTATCTTGCTCTCTTGCGCGGATTCGGTGATGTGGATGATGCAATATCCGCGCAGGTCAAACTGGCACGTGCATCACTCTCCCGTTTTTTCCTGCTTACCTGGAAACGAATGTGTTGTCGTTTGTGTACCGCTTGTTAGACAACGTCAGTTGTGAACACGCGTATGGATCAACACTATAGACACCACTTGTCTTGGTTTGCTACCCTTAGCCCCAGTCCACTGCGGTTCTGATACTGTCCAACATATATTGTATCGCAAATTTATCCCTTCGTTGCCTAGTGCTGTTGGCTCGAGTACGCTCCTAGTCACTTGGGGTTTAGCCTCCCTTCACATACGCCTTTCGGAAACGGTTTTGTAACCTCTTGGATTATTTTTTGGCCGCATCGACAACATTCGTCGTTCATTGATACACCTTTTGGACATCATCTTTCTCTGCGTTTGTTAACTATTAGAAACACAGCTGCTGTACAACGCTCATCGAATATTCGTTGTTTCTAGGATCTTCCATCTTCTGGAGTAGTGGTAGTGTCACTTGGTTTTCCATGGCTCCCAAACGGTACCATTAGCTTCAAACGGCGTGATCCTCTCATTAAGTATGACTCTTTTTGGACCACGTTCGTTGACTTCGACCATGTTTTATTGCTCTGTTACTTTCCCTTGACTATTTTAGGAAGCATAGCAAATCATCCCTTCCGCTAATTGTCAGGTGATCATGTCGGAGTTACCCACCGGTTGTGCTCTTTTTGTTTTAAGGATAAATGGTGAAGCTACATTTGTGTTACTATCCATGGAATAGGATGTCCTAGTTCATTACACCGTACGGGAAATTTTGGAATCTTGAGCCTAACCACTATACCGTTTTTCCAGTCGACTGCATTCACAGTCCAATTAGTTTCATCCGGAATGAAAACTTGTTCCTCCATACGTCGCTCGAGATGGTTTGTGCCTCACTCGAGTTTCATTCAGTGTTAGTACACGAGCACTATGGATGCAATTTAATTGTGGTACAAACTATCTTGAGTCACTTCAGGGGGAATTCGCATGTATTATGGATGCAGCGAACTGAGAAATGATACAGATGGACGATGATTAAATCGATGCCCTTAATCTGACCGAACAGAACCGAGACAATGACTTGCGTCCGTTGGCACTACCTCACACTCTTTCGGCTAACCAATCTTCCTAGTCACAAGGTGTCATCCGTCAGCGATGCTCTATGGGCGATGTACTTTCGGCCACCGCTCAATTGGCCTTCTGACTCTGAGATCCTCGCTCACAATACACCTTGTGAATATGTGGTCGGGAAGGCAGTCCCGTCCCCCTACCACTTACTGCTCACCCCAGTTCTCTCCTCTCCATATTAGCCAAGGTTGGCTGTATTGCAAAACATCGACCCAACGGTTTGGACAGGTGTGAAAAGCCGGGAAGACGTATCACAGCGGTACACCGTACCGACGCTTGGTTGCCACGTGACCGCCATCAGTCGCGCGTGCGCTTGTGATACTGCGATGGTCACCGTACCCAAACAGTGTGGAAAGTGGGTATTGAACAAGCCAGCCGGATCGTATCGATCGCGGTGACCGTGTTAGCACAGGGTTGTCGCAACTTTTTGCGCCAAATCCATCAGCTTGGCTTACATTCTATTTTCTTTCATTTTATCCCACCATTTCAAATGTTTGCAACATTTTGGATGTTTTGACCTTTTTCATTATATCATTGGAGTGCACTGCTACCAGTAGCCTTTCAAGCAGACATTTCTTTCGCCTTCGCTTTGATTACTATTGAGTACGATAAGTTCATTTCAGCTGGCTCATTATTCTTCCCTCCTCTATCGATCTATTTGTGCCAATCACAGCAGAACTTTTGACTGACGTCGGTGCTACCCCGATTGGCAATCGCAGCGAACTTGTCGAGCCCGGCATGAGTCCTTTCATCGACCCTTTCGACACGCAACAGTCTCAGCTTCCGGCAGATGACGCAGTTAGATCCCATGTTTCCGACCAATTCGATCCCATTCAAGCTTGGGGTCAACCCCAAGGGCTGCCAGCGCCTGTTGTACCATCTACCGCAAACAAAGGTACACAGACTTACTGCCTAGCCAGTCCTTGTTAATCTTTTTTTTCATGCCTCCATTTTTGTCCACTCGCCCATTTGCGCGTCGTATCTTGTCGAAGATACACATATCGTCCTCGTTACCATGTACGCTAGTATGTCCCATCCGTTTGACAGTTGCCGTTGTTCACATCTGCACTTGTGTTTCATCCGTCAAGCGATATTCTCCGGTGATTTAAAATTATTATTACCTCTACGGTAGTCGATGCGGGTTCCGATCAACCCACGGTAACCTTGACATTTCTCCCACTGGCTTACCTGCATTATTTTGGTACCGGACTCACTTCGGTTGCTGTGGCCTGCTCATGACTGAGTTCTGTTGCTGAGCGCCTCGAGCGGTTAGCCCTTTCTATCACAAATAGTACCAATGGACCACGGCGACGAGGTAGATATTTTGGCCATCTGTTCGTCCGTACAATGTTTCATGCTTCTTTAGAAAGCTTGTTTAGAAAATCAGGAAGTCTCCTATCCGACACCCTTGCGATACAAGGCGGATGTGTCTTTTACTCGCACATCTAACACCACCCGGACTGTAGCGTCAGGCACTCTGCCATTGACCGTTAGCCGTCATCTCGTCAACTTCACAAATCGGGAAGTGTATAACAGATCGACTTGCACTGTTTCAGTTTTTTGTACTCATCTGTTGTTCATTCTCTCCATGCTCACAACGAACCAGATTTCAGAATCCGTGTTATTGCAACCTTGTCGGACTGAGTGTTTTGATGGGAAGTTGTTTTTACACCCCCTAGCTTATCGCATCACTCGCACAGATTACCACATACTTGTGCGGTGTATTCACGGCAGTGATCATCTTCTGACGAGGCACTGTAATTTTTCGCCTCCCGCCAATCGGGGTTGGAGGATTCCTAGTTTAATTCAGTGCCACCTACTGCACCCTGTACCAATCTGAACCACACTGGGAGGGGCAATCAGCGGTAACTTCGGTCCCCGGACATTGTTTTGCTTTAGCGTTTGTAGTCAAAGCGGTGAAGCATTGAGGGAAAAGCATTCACTTAAGCAATGCATTTTGTTTTTTTTGTTTCTTCAGACTAACTTTTGTTTTTGAACCTATACATTGTTAATGTACACTCGCAATGAGTGTCACGTCAATAGTTTTCGGTCCTGTGGATGGCCATAGTTCGTAGTGTTGTTACACAGAATATGCGATGGTGCCGATTCCTAGAGGCGGTGACTGGCTGCTTGTGTATTCAACACCGGTTTTCCTACTGCTGGTTAACACGATGGAGTACCACAGTCCGTTGCCTCTATTGTGTGTTTACTGCTACCGTTAGTACTGGTCCCTGCAACGCTTCAGGCATGCGCCGCATCCTATCATTCCATTGACTTGTGGGGATCCACTGCCGGTCAGGTGGTGCTGTGGTCTGGCTTCTCACCGATTCAATATTGCCTATGTGTGGGCGATGTTGTAGTATCCCTAGCACGCGTGACTGTCGCTGGTCGATTGTAGTGACAGAACGTCAGTACGAAGTACCGGCCTACTTTGTCCTATGGATGGAATCAGTTACCATATCTACCAGATGAGGTCAACGCGAGTTAAATGACTGTCAGTTACTGGTGGCATCAGTGGTCGCAAGCCGTTTTCACAACCTGGATATGGCCTTGAGCTTCCAACTACCTCACCATGGCGCAACCCATCAGCATCTCTCTTCTAACGTACGCAGCTTAAATTTAGCAGGCTAAGCTATGAATGCTACGGTGACTTTGCGATATTGCACACCGGAAGCAGGTATTATCAAGCGACGCACGTGGTTGTCTTGGCTATTACGTCGAACATTTGACCACGGCAGCTTTTTCTAACATTAGTGAATAAACCGACTTTCGTATGAATTCTCTACCCACTTTGCGTTTCGGAGTCATTCACATTAGAGCGTTGTGCTTTACTGAGTTGCATGTCCTGACTGCTTTTTTATTTTAGCCGGCACTGGCACCGTGAAACAGAATGGACCCAGCCGGCCTTCAACGGCCAATAGGCCAAAACCCTCTACAAAGCCTACCGGGGCAACTGGGGGAAAGAGTGAGTTCATTTTCATGTTTTTATGCCTGTAGTTCATGGTGCCCCTTGTTGCTTTGCACTTTCGCAAGTGTTTGTTGGAGGGCGCGGTTCTCATGGCGATAGCATTTGATCTTCCCACTTGTACCATGCAGCTTGGCTGGGTTATGCAACATCGTACGCACGAGGTATCCTGGAGACTACTGATGTTCAATTTGCATTCGGAAAATTTATCTTCACACCTTACCGAGCGTCCACAGCGCACTGGTGATGAATCTGCATCGCCGTGCAGATTTACTAATTCGATTACCAGTGACAAAATGGCAGCATGCATTGGAAGCCAGATGGGTGATCAAACTAATCTATCGATTCTACATGAATCTGACAACTAATGATAGTTCAAATCACGCATTAACTTTCACGATGCAATCGCCCTTGACCCACAGCAGTCTGTACCTCGCATCAGTCACCCCACTCTCTTACATTGGGCCCGTTCACAGCCAACCTCGTGTTGAATTCCTCTTCACCTTGTGTGTATTTCGAATACACAACCTGTTTACCACCAATTGTCTTCTCTCCTTAAATCGCGACATTCCTTCCCGTCATTTCGTGCTTCGTTGAGCTTTCGACTTTTTTGTATGCTATTCCATCCTAGTAGAACCTTTTTGTCCATTTAGCTGTTGGCGGCTCCGCTTGGCGCCCGCGTTGCCATATTTTTCGGTAACCAGCGTCTCTGCTTAGAATTCTGTCACTTTTGAAGCCGGGCCATCTTGTATTTATATCGTGTCCATGGCTGCAGCATCGTCCTTATTTTGTCATCATTTGACTGTTGTTTTCTTTCCGGTTGGTGTACCTCTGAGCACGTTCCGTGCTCGTTGGTGCGATGCACCACGTGTCACCATTGTACACCAACAGCCGCGCTTTTGGACGACATTTTGGCTTTGATTCTAGTGGTATGATAGTACCACATACTTGTCCGTTTCCCGAATGTTGTCCCCTTTTTGTCTCAAGCCTGTTCGATTGTGTACGGGTTGATGGATTCGATTCTATGACGACCGTAGCCTTTGCTTCGGTCGAATTGTCAACCTGCTTCACTCTCCACTTGTCAGGGTCGTATGCAACGGATTGTTTACACCCAACCGCCACGCCTGGTCCAACGCATCGGCATTCGCGTCGGTCACTTTCTACCATTGATAGGATTGGTTGGTGTAAGACCTTTGCCTTTTCTCCCATACTGCTAGCTGCCAAGTTTCCCCAACCCACTCCCGCAATGTGAGCTGTACGCCTGTGTGTGTGTGTGTGCCGCTACCCACACCATAGGTATTCTATTTGATTGTGCCGGTGTACTCAGTTAACCTTCCGCTTGGTCAATGATTCACCAACCTTCATCACCCCGTCCCTTTCTTTTTCACGGATAATCACTGACCCTGCAATGGCGTGATTTACCGCAATTGACCCATCCGGAGAGCCGCATATCTGCGTCCTCACAATATGATCGGCTCCGAAAAGGTTCCCATTCTGGACAAGGCGAGCAAGCGCTCAACTGGGTGTGACCATGCGTTTTTTCGCCAATTGTATTTTACCTCTTCGTTTCCAGTAAACGTCGAAGGAACGTGTTGCATCTCACGGAACTGAGTGAACCGATGCTAGAATTCCTGTCCATTTGTGCTTTCACTATTTTTTCTTAGCCATACAAATCGGACTAGTGGCCACTCTTAGGATTCTGTTCGGGCTGACGTCACTTCCCCTCCCATGCTAGACAGTCGTGCAACATTATCGTCACTTCAGAGCACTTGATGTCATGCAACGCTTGAGCTCTCCATTGTTCCAATTCACCATGTCTAAATTTTCCCTTGTGTAACGAGTTTGTGCTCGCCTATCTGCTTGCTGGCTCACGCGCTTATTTGGGGCATAGTGACCATTGTAAGTGGCGCGATGTAGCACATGTCAATGAGCTGTTTGTATCCTCCTTGTTTCGAGTAAACCTTCGCGCAGCGTATTTCCAGCTTATTTTTAACTGTTGGTTTTTCATATCTAACACATCAGCAGCAGTAGCAAGCAATACACCAGCTGCCGTACAACTACAATGATGTATGTATGTATGTATTCTCAACAGTCTATTAGCTAGACAAAGAGCCAGCCTAAAACCATGGAGATAAGGAGATAAGCAAGATTTATGGCGTCATAATCATCGTGGCATGCTAGTTGAAGGTGAGCAACACACTTCAACTAATATGCCGCAGGAAGAATGGAACATTTTGATAAAAAGCAGAACAAAACATTTTTTGTTTGTTTTTCACACGCCGGTTTTGTTCTTTTTTGTCATTTTAGTGTTTGTAGAATTAAACATGTGCATCAGTACAATAATGTACACAATTCTTCCACTGATTCCGGTTGCGGGCCATATCTTCAAGAGTGCTAAGCCATTGGCACTCCTCATCTTTGGGTCCCCATCCTGGAAGACGTACGGATCCTACAGCGGCTAGACATGACGTCAACGATTTCATGTGCTGCCGCCAAGTGGAAGGCTGACCACCACGCGGTCGCCTCCAGCCAGCTCCTTGACGAGCGAATAGAGCGCAACGCGGTAGACGCTCAGGTGCCATGCGTAGAACGTGATCGAGCCATCTCAACTGGCGCAACAAAGCCAGTTTGTTGAAGGGAATACTCGCATTCCCCAAGATGCGACGTCGAACGTCATTACTATCAACTCGATGTTGCCACCAAACACGCGCGATCCTCCTTAAGCAACCGTTATCGAAGGCAGAAAGACGACGCATGTCTTCCACGCGAAGCGGCCAGGACTCGCACCCATACAACAATATTGAGCGAACTGATGCGCTGTAAACTCGGCCTTTTAGTGAGAATGAGATGTCGCGACGACGCCACAAGTGCCTCAAATTGACAAATGCCGATCGAGCTTTAGCGATGCGAAGCGAAACTTCTTTGTTGATAGTGCCATCAGCAGAAATACAGCTCCCAAGGTAGACGAAACTATCTACCTGTTCAAGTTGTGCACCATCGAGAGTGAGTACGGGAGCAGGCGAATGCCAATCTTTGAGCAGTATTTTACACTTCGATGGGGCGAAGCTCATGCCATACTTAGATGCTTCAATCGCCAAACGATCCAGAATGAGTTGCATACTCTGAGGATCGTCACCAATTAAGGCGATATCATCAGTATAATCTAAGTCGGTCGCGCGCTCACCCGGTAGAAGTTCTAGGCCAAAATGTTACTACAATGATGTAATGAACAAAGTATAGGAAGAGGAAACGAAGGGGGACTCACCGGAAAACCTGAATGCCGTAAGCAAAACATTCAGGGTCAAGGCGCGTACACCTTGTCAATTGCAGATCCTCACCTACAGCTGACTGTCGTGCAAAGGCGAGACAGGTTCTTTGCAGCTTTCATGTCCCGCCATTACCCTGCAGATAACTCAGCACCAAGCACACTTTAGTTAGGCAGTCAGACCAGCAGACTCGCCACTGATGCCGATTGCGACCCATATCCTGTAACATCTCAAGCCGAGCACAAGGCGGGTCATATGGAAAGCGAGACCGACCAACGGCACCAAATTTGTTCGTCAGTGACTTCATTGCCCGCTGCCAAGTTAACTTTTGTCCACCTCGAGTTTTGCGCCACCCTTCATCTGGCAGACAAAACAAGACCCTCATCAGTAAGCGGTGACCAGGCGTACGTATTACGTTCTCAAGCCAGTGCAACTTACTCGGTACTATCTGTTGTTTTAAGGAACTAGCCTGATAATCACTGCCTAGCACTCGCCTACACACACTGGTGCCACATGACACTAGCAGTTCTCCGCAGACAGTGATGGTCGAAGTGCAGTACTCATTTGTCCCCGGGGTGTTCCTCTCTTTCACGCCGGTCCTTAGTTACTTGATGATTGACGCTGCTCACGACATGTCGAGCATGAAGTGCTTTTAATACTCCATGCTGCCTTCTCCTAATCAACTGGGTGCTCTTTTTCAGGTACATCACTTACTCCGGCTGCCCCTCCCGTGTTACCTCCTGGGCCACCGGTTTATCTGGACCTCATATGGGTGCCTTCCTATTTGGTCCGTGTACCTCACCAGCTTGCCGTGGAGTTCTTTAACCGCGTGCGCTCACGAACCTATGTATTGTCGGGGGAGGCTCTCCATCCGACAATTGGTGAAGCTCTTATTGAGGGCAAGTCTCGATGGGGATCGCATGGTACGTCTATTGGGCTGCATGTTAACCTTTTTATTTATAGGCGATGCGTGTAGTCTTAGCGTAGCTTAGCTCTTTTTTGTTTGCAACATTTCTCTTTCTGTCTCCATTCTCCTACCAAATGCTTAACCGTAGAATACTACGGTGCCAGGTCCGACCAGCTGATTAATCCACACTTCACCACTTCAACGCATGTCGATGTGGTTGACATTCAGTTCTCGCTCTCGAGATGCACGTGAATTCGCAAAGTCATCGCATAGATGTTTTACGAGGCGCCTGGTATTTAGCAATTGTCTCACTGCAGTCGTTCTTTTGAGTGTCATTCTGTCTGTGAGGTTCTATATCATAATTGATTTTATTCATATCCTTTTCATGGTTTTCCATCCTGTTGAATTTTATGTGTATATGCTTGTGCTGTTTCATCACCACTAGCGGGTCTTCTTCAATCGGATGCTTTTGAACTGGATGTAGCGCGCTCGAACTATTGGTGGGTTCATCAGGCAGTTGTAATCCTTGTGCACATTAATTAAAGCAAACTACGATTGTGTCTCTTTTTCTATGAATATCACATTTTTATACTTGGAAGCTGCCGTTTTGCATTTATTTTTTATTTTATTTTGGGAATAGATATTTCATCATTGTTTGTGAATCAGACGATGTAATAACTGCGCATGTCTAGTCGTTACATCACCCAAGATTGCATCATACTTTTTATGGTTAGTAAGGTTTTTGTTTCAACTTCTTGTTTTTTGTGATTCAGTCATTGTTTGAGATGGACGTGACTCCCAGAAGGCGCATGAAGATCGTGACCTTGCACGAACACACAGACAAAACCTACAGGGACATAGCAAGAACAGTAGGCGTCCGTCCGGCAACCGTCAGCCGTGTGATCAAAAAGAAAAAGGAAACGGGATGCATTTCGCCAAAACGCAAAGGGAAATGTGGTCCTAAGAGGAAAACCACTGCCAGGGATGACGCTTACCTAATACGGGAAAGTGTTAAAGATCCTCGAAAGACTATTGACGCATTGAAACGTGATTTGGGGGAGAAAGGAATAGAAATCAGTTCTTCAACGGTTCGCAGGCGACTCCTGGAAGTTGGTCGGAAAGCCAGACGGCCTGTGAAAAAACAACTTCTGACAAAAGTAATGAAAGTTATGCGTTACAAATGGGGACTAAAATACAAAAACTGGACAAAAGAAGATTGGAGAAAAGTCCTATTCAGCGATGAAAGCCATTTCTATGTTCATGGTCAGAGCAGTCAGTATGTTCAGAGGTCAGAGGGAGAAAAGGTTCGTGATTCCCACAATGACCACTTTGTGAAACACCCACAAAAGCAGATGTTTTGGGGGTGCTTTAGTTATTACGGCGTCGGCGCCTTGCATCCAGTCCAGGGCATGATGCGCTCTCCACAATATATAGAAGTTCTCCAAAGAAGAGCGGTTCCAGAACTTAAAAAGACATTTCTTGACGGATCTGGCGTATTTCAACATCTTGGGTCCCTGTACCAAACTTGAATTCAAGCTTGAATAATTCTCTCCTTTGTCGTACAGTCCATGCCACGAAGGCGTTGCTTGCAAATAGACCACATATTTTCAATGGGGTTTAAATCTGGTGAATTCCCAGGCCAGTCCAAGATGGTTATTTGATTAGTACTGAAAAAAGTCTTGACCATTTTTGATGTGTGGCACGGGGCCAGATCCCGTTGAAGAACTGATTTCTATTCCTTTCTCCCCCAAATCACGTTTCAATGCGTCAATAGTCTTTCGAGGATCTTTAACACTTTCCCGTATTAGGTAAGCGTCATCCCTGGCAGTGGTTTTCCTCTTAGGACCACATTTCCCTTTGCGTTTTGGCGAAATGCATCCCGTTTCCTTTTTCTTTTTGATCACACGGCTGACGGTTGCCGGACTGACGCCTACTGTTCTTGCTATGTCCCTGTAGGTTTTGTCTGTGTGTTCGTGCAAGGTCACGATCTTCATGCGCCTTCTGGGAGTCACGTCCATCTCAAACAATGACTGAATCACAAAAAACAAGAAGTTGAAACAAAAACCTTACTAACCATAAAAAGTATGATGCAATCTTGGGTGATGTAAAGACTAGACATGCGCAGTTATTACATCGTCTGATTCACAAACAATGATGAAATATCTATTCCCAAAATAAAATAAAAAATAAATGCAAAACGGCAGCTTTCATGTATAAAAACGTGATATTCATAGAAAAAGAGACACAATCGTAGTTTGTTTCAATTAATGTGCACAAGGATGTATATGTAAAGCACATCCATGCCGATATATCTTTAAATTACTGCGATCTATCTTGTAAACAACAGTACTTTTACCAGAGCATTGCTGCAGTTTTTCACCTTACAGATGGTTGTGGCATTTTAGCGGTACACTCCCTTTCTCCTCCAGATCTTGAGACATTGTTCCGCACGGAAACTCCTGCTCCGATCAACGTTCTCCCCACCGATGAGCCGTACGAATGGAGTTGTTGGCTGCGCACACCTTGTGGTCGTGCGGATCGCGAAACCGGTGAATCTCGCTTGCAAGCGGGTGGATTCCATGTGTTACCTGCTGCAAGCCTCTGCGACATCGAATACTCGGCTGGTGACACGGCATTCCGATGTGAAGGTGTGAGAGTGGACTTGTGATTCATACCGCAGTCGCCTATCCGTCCTAAGCTGTTGTCCCAAACTTGTGCCTGGATAACTGGATTATTCGGGAACTGACCGGCCGCTTACTCACAGACATTTTCCTTTTCGACTCCTTTCACATTGCGCCATCAGATCCACTGTTTGTCGTGCCACGTCAACTTCTTACCATCCCATTCACACACACGCACACACACCCTACCATAATCTTTTGATTGCGCCTCAGTATATATCACCCTCCGTGTTTGTCTTTTCATTCTCCTACTAGTTATGTTATTTGTCCGTTTAGCTCTCGACGACATTCGATTCTTGACCTGTTTTGCATCTCACTCGCGTCCCACTTTTTAATGTGACCGCTGCCTCTGTCATCGTGCCTCACGTGGAATACACTTGCTTCGTATGTTTTTTTCCACCGCATTAACGATCTCTCTATCCCAACATTCTTTTCCTTCTTTCTTTAGTTTTTCCATCATTGGTGATGCTGCGTTTACTCTCTGCACTAGCGCTGTTTTCAGTTTTCTTGCTCCACAGAGCGGGCCTCCCATTTCCTTAACCGTGTGGCTGCTACATTTTTCGGCCACTGGCTTTCCTATGTACCTGTCATCTCTAATTGAACGTCAGTCATTTTGCCTTTCGCGTATTTGCACATCGCGTACGGCCGCTGGTACCCTGTGTCTAGGACGCAGTACAATTTGAACGAGACTTGTTGCCTACACTGTTGTTGGTGTTGTCATGGCTTTTTGTTTGGATGGAGAAAGTCTTTAGTCTACTTGTTGTTGGCCACAACCATAGTTCACTAACTTCACCCGGATTCGGTCTTTTGCTCTCATTTGAAGAACTGATCTAACACAATTTGATCGAGCCTCCAGAAGCGCTGGTATCCTTGGTGCGGATATTCAGTGATCGTCTCTCATTGTTGTGGAAGTGGTTCGGATTTAGTACTTTGCCCTTGATGATATCTCGTCGCCGGCACGTGGATGAATGACTCAACCCTCAAACTGTCGTTCGTTCATTCGCAGCTAAGACCTAAGCTGGGTTTTAGACCTCGTCTTTTGCGGTGACCGCAGTCCGATCTGCTGCGCCTCATTCAATATGCTGTGTTGCGATTAAACGTTGTTCGCATACGATGACAAAGTTAGCTTGCACGTTGGAATCCTAGGTGGCATGGCCACACTCGCTTGATCGCTATTCGATTACGAGCTTTTCCGGTCTACCTGCTAATCATCATTGGGTCCAACAGTTTCGGTTGGCGTGCGCAATTCACCGTCATCGATCGTGAACACTTGGAAACTTACGACCCGAGTCATACACCACGCTTTTAATTACTAATACTACCAATGGCATATTGACATCTCAGGATGCATACTACGATACGTTAACTTGGCAAAATGTACAGACGGACGAAAGATTTTTAACTGGTTCTACAGCAACAACTTAGCCAATTACTATGCCCTTCACCACTCAAAGCAAGTGGCGGAGGAAACGCATGCACTTTCGGGTAACAACAAGGAGCTAAAGTTGGCTGATCTCTTAAATCGTCGAAACCCTGCGACGTATGAAATTACTTCTATCACGCTTCCCGATGGCTCTGTCGTACCGGATCCTATCTCCATTACCGAGGCTCTGAACTGACCATTTTGTTCATCTTTCAGCAAAGCCACTGGTCCACTCCACTTGACTTATTCACCGCAACCTCCAACCGTTTCTCTAAAGTAGAATTTTCACTCCGAGGCATAAAAAGACAACTGGGTGCTGTGAAAGACTAACTACGAACGCTCTGATGCTCTTCTTTCAATCGGACTAAAACTAGGGGGGTTAGGTATCCTCTGCTCAATCTATTCTCTCTTTCAATGAAGGCCGGCGAACTACTCACACAGTGGTGGACAGCCACTTATGTACCACGTCACAAAGCTGGACCCTGATATGACGTTAGAAACTACTGGCCAGTCAGCCACACTCTACAGTTATCTGCAGAATCACAGAGAGATTAATTTCCTCCAAAGTGGTTGATATCCTGCAAACTAGTAGCCTGTTTAATAACGCACAACATGGATTTCTGAAGAAACGCTCATGTATAACATATCACCTTGCGTTTCTCAACTATCTTCCTCTCCGTTTAGACTGCGGGAAGTCATCAGTAGTAATCTTCCTAAACATTTAGTAAATGTTTGATTGTGTATCTGACGATAAGCTTATGGACAAAATGGCATCCGTTGGACTCAGCGACCCACTGTTATCGTGGTTCGAGTCACACCTTTCAAACTGAACCCAGCTGGTTAAAGTAAATGATCAAAATTCACAGCGTAGACCAGTGATGAGTGGCGTAGTTCAGGGCAGCGTTATGGGCCCACTACCCTTTTTATTGTATATTAACGATTTATCTGACGCAATACACTGCGGTGTCTCATGTGTACTTGCTGATGACGTGAAATTAGTTTACACCTTTGATGTTACTGACAGGAAACACACTGCGAACGCAATTATGTCTAATTTGATAGCCCTTGAGTTGTGTTACGTGAAATGAGATATCTCCTTCTCAACCGAGAAGTGCAGTGCCCTACTGTTCGGTTTTATAATCGCACCTGGTTCTGCGTGGGAAACGAATAACGTGCAACAGTGCGGTCTTCATTAATCTGGCTCACTAAACTTTATGGAGCACATGGCTCGTCGAAACATTGGACTACTATACAAAACATTCAAAATACATAACTCCCTAGCCACTCTATACAGTATAAAACCCGACCGTTTTTAGACTATTGTGCACTGATCTACAGGAATGCATGAAAAGGTGATCGCCAGCAACGAGAAGTTGCAGACATCGTTCACTAGACGTCTGCTGGGATTATCTTCTCGAAGCATAGCGCTGCCAAGCCTTACAACTAGACCCCGTATGGCTCAGACTAATGAAACTAAATATATGTCTCTTATTCGATATCATACACAAGTGTGTTCATGCCTAAAGCTTGAATGTGGAATTCAAAGTATAGTCATCGAGACAGCGACAACTTGCTAAAAATAGAAACTCCTAGAACTCAGGCACGTACGAACTTTTATGTGAACATTTACACAAAGATGTGAAACAGACTGCCGTCCAAGCTGTGTTGTATCGCCACTGGCGCCTTCACCCCACGAACGTAAGAAGTCCAAAGACGAGCCGGAAAGAGACTTGTATACATGGAATCACATTTGTTTATATTGTTTTGAAGATAAAATGAAGGGAAGCTACTAAATTACACTTGAACCAACCAACAGAAGGAAAACGCCAAATGCAACCGGCGAATACGCAACCGTGTAATCAAGAGCGAATCGTATATGTCCTTAAAATTAGCATCATGGGACCCCAAGCGTAAAGCGAACATCCATTTATAGTGACGGGCACTGGTCAATCAGAATAACGAAATCTGGCGTTTGAACAAATGTCACGAAACACGCGAGAATAAGAAGTGCAGACCCAAAAATTAAAAACTACTACATTAATCGTGTGACAACTAAATGTCCCTTTAACATAACCAAGTAGAACTGTGATACTGAGAAAAACCAATGGGATTTGTTCTTGCAAATGGCACTGCTGAAGATGACACGGAGATGAGCGTCCATTAACAATGACGTATGTGTATCAATGGGGCTAACACAGTGGAGCGTTTAAACAACAATCAAGCAGTGGAAAATAAGAAGAATAAAGAATGACAGTTAAGCTCGTTCACAAGAATTGAATGTCAGATAGCTATTTTCCTATCAAGCTATGAGAATGTAAATGAAATTCGACCACATCAACCTTCATCCGTAACTCACACCGTCGAGAGATAAATTGTTCTTTATTTTCTTTACCTTCGTCTTGTAATATTAAATATTTCTTCTACTTTTCCGTGAGCAACAGTTCAGAATCAGATAGCAATTCCCAGTGCTCCGCGATACCAAATACTGTAATTTGCGAACGCAGACAATTGTCGGGTAAACCTGAAGATTCCTTTCAGAACTGCCTCGCATATCGATAATCAGAGAAGCCAGTTATTACGGCGATCCTACCGCACAATTTGATCGAGAAATCCGTAGACGTTTCTTGGTATTATTTACATACAACAATTTCTTATCACCACTAGCGTAATTACCTTTCTACCTCTTCATATTCTATCTTCTTCTTTACTCCATTGTTGGTCACGAGTCGATCTCATGAGGTGACGGATTATGGCTTCCAAACTAAAAGATGAGCCCATGCGAGGCAATATGCCATAGACTCCCTGACGAGTAATAAAAGCGCTTGACTCAAAAAACGAGCTATATGTCCTAAATATCCATAATACACACTAAGAAAGAGCCCTTAAAATGACTACAATTGGTAATGGCAAACCTGTTATGAAGCCACACTAACACACGGTCAGAACAGAGATGTGAGTGTGGGTGGATACTTTCGTGGAACTAGCCTGCATGGAACCAGGTCCCATGGAGACGAGTCCACAGTTGGCCGTATACTTTACTAGAATATTTAAATTTATCTTCATCTATTGTTATCAACTAATCCATATATTGAAAATGCAACCGATCAATCAGCCCCGCAAAATACTTTTGGAACTGCTTTGAAAAACAGAACTCGATGTAATATTATCCATCCCTTGCGATCTCGTTGTACATAATGACCAAACCAAATCGTTGGACTGTGTCACGCAGTCAGGAATATTTCTTTATTTATTCAGATGTATTAGTAGTAGTAGCAGTAGTAGATGAAATTACGCATAACGGCAGTTGACAAAACATCACCAGAGTAAACTACATCGTTGACTAATGTGCTCGCACGCCCAAATCGAATCGTGACTATTATTCGAGCGTGTACTATTGTTTAGGCTTTGAAAGCTGTCAGCAAACCACTGTCAGAATTGCGTTGTAAGAACTCTTGTACAAAAGAGGGCTCATCGCATTTACTCGACCAACAGCAGAATATTTGCACTTAGTTTCCACGTTCAGAATGTCTTAGGAGTTGGTTTAAATTCCTCAGGACCTACAACATTGCTTCCAATCTGGGGAACCTACACACGGCACTCCGAAACTAGTATAAGTTAGACAAATACAATAGCATATGAGAGTCAGGTAATCAACGGTGGAACCATGTGCCAAATTACTAACGTTGTGCGTGACCCACGAGATTGAACCCTAGTGTGGTGTGATAATTTGGGTTTTCCCAGGACCCATTGAGCTATGTTGGGACGCACTGTCCAGTTGCCTTCAGAGTCACTCATACCAGACAGGTCTGTGGTTAGTGGTCAGACTAACTCAGTCTTACAAACCAATTCTCTTCGGATGTTAGGGTGAGATCGATGACTTTTTTCCTTTAAAACCTAGCCTAGTGGGTCGCATCACCTTGACTATATTGCTCATTTTACGACCGATATATGGCATGTCTCAGGTGTGCACAACACCGTCTCCGAGGCGTTTTCACGATTTCAATTGATCTCCGCTGAAGCCGGCACCGCTATCGAGTTGGCAGTCATGGACGCAGCGCAACTCAATAATCCTTAGGTTGATGTACAACGCAGGTCTCCCTCACCGGGCATATGACCCGTTCCGCTAACATCAGCAGACGAAACTGTACTTTGCGATTTATCTCTGGGCACGCCGCGCCCAGTCGTCCCACGCGAGTTTCGGCAGGCCGTGTTCGACACGTTTCACGACTTTTCTCATCCAAGCGTTCTTGCATCTGTTAAACTCGTAACCTCACGGTTCGTCTGGCTCAATATCAATCTTGACGTTCGTACTTAGGCAGCTGCATGCCTTCCGTGTCAACGCACGAAAGTACATAAACACCCGAGAACTCAGTA